AATTGTTTTTAGAGATTCCGGTGTTATCAAAAAAAAAAAAAAAAAAAAAAGACAGAATCAATTTAATGGAATACATATTATAAACACAAAAATTTTATATACTAACACGCGGAATATACAGCTAATGAAACAAAATTAAAAGTTGTTTTAAATATATTAAAAGAAATTGAAAGATAGGATACTTATAAAAAACATACAAATAAAATAGAAGGACCCACCTTCATAAGAAAAAAGTATATCGTTACATCTTTCGAGATTTGGATAATGCACCTTCGTATGATGAAATCAATGAAAACCAATGTAGTCCAGCTGTAGTCATTAATTCTAATTAATTCCAAACAAGAAGAACTTTCGAATTTTTACAATCACAAATATAATTTTTTTTTAGTTCATGTATTTGTTTGAGAATGTCTAATAAAAAATTAATTAGACATGCTAGTATACTTCATGAAATAAAAAATTTAAATTAAAAAAAGGTGAAAAGCTGGAAGATTAGGAATACAACTATCGACTATGCGGTTTTGAAACATGGTCTTCAAAAGATTTGTGTAAAAGAAAATTGGCTTCAGAAAACCTTTTACGTAAAGTTATACCAAATATAAAAAAACAAATTAATGATTTAATGCATCCGTTTTTTCAATAAACCAATAAATTTTTTCACAATATTCTTTTTACAACTGGAGACAACTGTTTCAATGAGATTGACAAACGTGCATAATTTTTACCTCATTTACATCTTCAATGTTCAATTATTCATGATATATTTGATCTTTTCGTAAATGTTTGTTTTTCAAAATGTTTTTCTGTTACTAAACAACACAGATTAGTTATGCAATCTTTTAGTAATATTTATATGCAATGTATAGATTGGTTAATTGAACAATATAAAGTTGTATATGATCCTCATTTTAAACATTGTTATATTTATAAATATGATTTTCTTTAGATTTTTTAAAAATGTTCAAAAATTTTTTTAAAATGAATAAAAAATTCAATAAAGAAATTGTGCTTCGACAGGATCTAGCAAGTTTTAACGTAGAAAGAGTAAAAATATTATTATTTTGGTTACCTATTTATAATAAAATCACATATGAATTCAAAGACTCATTAAATTTATTATGTACATGAAAATTGGCTAATGCAAAACTCTTAAATGTAATTATACCAAATTTACAAAAACAAATTAACGAATTAATGTATCAATTTTTAGAATCAAATCAAAATAATTTAATTGTTGAACTATTCGTATGAAGACGAATGTTTTTATGACATTAACAAATGTGCATTAAATAATTCACATTATTTACATCTTCAATGTGCAATTATTTATAATATATATCTTCTTTTTGAAAATGTTTATCTAATAGATTGTGTTTCTTATTATAAAAATAATATAGATAGTATGAATGGTATTTCTGATACTAATTTAAATAATTTCAGAGCAGTTACGCCTTCTTTTTTTTAATTTATATAGAAATATTTGATTGGTTAATTAATCAATGTGATTATATTATGAATCCTTATTCTAAACCTAGTTGTAATGGTAAGTATTATTTTGTTTGACATTTTTTAGATTAGAAATAATTACTTCATAATGCATTTATACACTGTGGACGATGAAGAACGATTATTATTCAACAGAGAAGAAAGCAATATTTAACATTTTTTTAAATGGAAGTTAAAGTAAAAGTAAACCAACATGTGAAGCATTTATCCGAGTTCAAAGCATAGGCACAGAAGAAATTTTAAAACAAACAGACAATTTAAAAAATATTAAAAAAACAAAAGATATTGAACAAAACTTTTATAATTTTGTAGAACATGTTTTATCACAAAAAATATTTAACAAACTTTTTTGTGTTTTATGTTCATTTTATTTATTACAATTTATTTTAGATTCATAAAAAAAAAATGAATCTTGTAAAAAATAATAACACAAACTATGTCAGCTATAAACCTAACGAAGCTAGATATCTTATAAGTTTGGTAGAAGATCCTTACGGAACCGAATATATTGTAAAGTTTTGGCAGAATTTTATCGTGTTGGTGTTATTTTAGACGAACAAATTCAAATACGAACAAATAATTTTACAAATCAAGAACTTTTTTAACAAACTAATAACAATTTTGAAAACTTTGTAAAAAGTTTATTTTAGAAACAAAATATTACTATTAATAAATTTTTTCATCCAATAAATTGTCTTTTTCTTTTTTTATATCATAACAATGCAATACATCTTTTTGAAAATATACTCCTTTACCTAATCCTTCACAATAATAACACAATTGTTCCACTATAATTTTTAAACTGTTTACATTCACGTTTAAAGATGGAAAAAACAGGACTTCAATATTTTTTCAAACAGTTTTAAAGATTAAAAATATACAAATGGATATGGTTACAACATCTTCCCTCAAAAAAATAAAGATCCATCAAAAACTGTTATATAAATTTATCTTAATGATTCTCATCTTCCAGTTACTAAATGTTTAAACAGTAAACGTTTACTAAGAACTGAAGTTTTTTGTTTAAATAAACAGGTAAAGACTTTAAAAAAAATTGAACATATGTTGGCCTATAGAGAAATTTTTAAATAAGGACTACAAATTTCCTGAGTTCAACTATCAAATGTTCTTGGTACGATTACCTTTAAAAATATATTTAACTGCTGTCCTAAAAAACATTACTCAACATTAAAAACAAATTAAATCTATGATTGTTTACACAAGAAATCAGAAGAGCTACAAAGTCTTAATAATAAACTTAAAGTGGTATGCTTGTAGAAGAAAAAAGAGAATGCAAACAATAAAATAAAGTAAAATAACTCTAACTAAGCAACCAAGAAATAAATGTAGAGTTTTTAAATATAAAAACACTAATCTCCAGAAAGAAAATTAAATTTTAAAAAATTATAATGAAACTGATGGCTGATAAAGCTCAGACAACTTCTAAAAATTTGAATATATTGATTCCAAGTACAACACTGGCTCTGACTCTCGAGCTGCAAATCTTCTATACTACATTTCAAAATTAAGGTAAAAATTTTTATTATAAATATTACCTTATTATCTTGATTACTTTATGAGTCACTTTTAAGTCTTTTGGAAACTTTTTCTTCAAAAATTGCATTCTTCTTTTAAATATAAACAAAGAGGTGATCCTTCAGACTTCAAAATCTTTTGAGGGATAAGGGACTATTATGTGGTATTTTTTCTCGATATATTATGTCTAACCAATAGTATTTGTTTTGTTTTTATTTTAACTTTTTGAAAAAAATGTCTAAGTTCTATTATAATTTCTTTCTTAAATAATAATGAAAGAATAAAATAAAAAAATTGCTAACGAAGATTGACGTTTTCAATAGCATTTGATTGAATACTTACTTTATATAATAATACTTTTTATGTAGGGCTATTACAGCAGCTTTTCTTGAAATGGTTTTTTCAATCATTTTGGCGTCACTAATCCACAAATGCACAAAATTTGAATCTCTATATTTTCTTATAACTGATTTTAAATCTTTAAATTATAAAAAAGTCTCTTTGCATGCAAATTTAGTTGACATCTTTTAAGTATGAGTGAAACAAAATATTTTATATATAGAATTCAAATATTTTTCCATTGATTGGAATTTTAAAATATATGAATCGAAACTTGTTTTTACACGTTACTTTTTCAACCATTAAACGGGCTTCCGGCACTATAAACAAAAATTAATTTCTAAGTTACCTAAATACTTATAAATGATCGTGTACAGGCAGGTGGACTAAAATTTTTAAATTGAACATATACTATAATATTATCACTAGAAAAAAGCAAATTTCGTTAGAGTGCTGACTTTTGGTACTCTAACGAAATTTGCTTTTTTCTAAATACTTATAAATGAACGTGTACAGGCAGGTGGACTGAAGTTTTTAAATTGAACATATACTATAATATTATCACTAGAAAAAAGCAAATTTCGTTAGAGTGCCGACTTTTCGCACTCTATTGAAATTTGCTTTTTTCTAGTGATAATATTATAGTATATGTTCAATTTAAAAACTTCAGTCCACCTGCCTGTACACGTTCATTTATAAGTATTTAGGTAACTTAGAAATTAATTTTTGTAGTTATAAATTTAATCTACATAAGAAACTAATCCCTATAGGAAGAGGCGTATTTAAATATTATTACAAAGCAATAATCTTAGCACTTCAAAAAATTATTTTTAAGCCCAAAAGAGATTTTTCCTTTAAGTTATAGTAAGTTAAATTCTTGAACATCAAGTGTTCATAAACGGACGTGTTTTTACACCGAAAAATATAACGAAAAGTTATATAGCATTTTTAAGTTTTTAGTATTAGCTTAGTTATTTTATGGATATATACTATAAACTTACCATATAAATTTGTTACTTAATTTGGTATTATCTTGTTACCATAATTGAATTTAAAATACGAATATGGCACCACGTATAGTCGGTGAGATATTTTTCAACTTGATATGTGATTCAAATGCGTTTGAAGATAACTATCTGAAAGACTTAGATAAAATATGCTCTCACCCGAAGGATTTAATTGTTCAAAGTTTGAAAACAGTTTAAGAAAGCTTGATTCGAATTCTTCGCGAACGCCTATATACTGAAATCTTGGATATATTTGGCACAGAACAATTCTGTGATATAAAAATAACGTTAGACTCTGAAAACCCAGCTGAAAAGATCTTCGCAAAAGATATAAAACATCACTATGTTTGGAGGATATTTATTTATTTTCGATCACAATATGCAAAAAGCAACTTCATAAAGATATAGTTAAGGCCATAATCTCGACAAAAAATGTTGAAATTATTAGTGACAAGTTTTTTATCTCGTCAGTTAAAGAATTAATTACTTCTAGCAAAAAGTAACCCGTAATACGGGTTTTGGTCGGTCTGCTACATAATTAATTTATAGTGGCTGTTTTATAAAATTTAATGTTGCAAAACCTTAACTAATACCCTTTTAGAAAATCGCCTT